GGGCGATGCGGTGAGCAAGTGAGTACATTTTAGTTAGAAAAGCAATCTAGGTAAAGCGACTGCTGTGAACCCTCCAACGTTGGATGAAAGACCTACATTCGTGCTAATTGGCAGCTCGTAACGGCCTGTTGCTGAAAAAGTTGTCCGGCTTTTGACTCATGATCCTTCATTCATCAAGGATATCCGCAAGGAAATGCTTCAAGTATTGGGGTTATATTGGGATAATGGAAAGTAGAATGGAAACTACTACAATAGGTTATATTATTGGGGTAATTCTACCCCTGCAACTTACATGAAGGCCAAGGGATTCATGAATCAATGGTCTGCATTCGCCAGCTCCAGAGGTCCTCCATATGCGCATCCCATCAGCATCCTAAGCAGCAAGCCCAAGTCCTGGAATTTCACCACGCCAAATCAAGCTTCTTCCTAGATCCTGAGATCAGGGCGCCATTCAAGATCTATACCCTAAACCCTAAACCCTAAACCCTAAACCCTAAATCCTTACTCCCAAGCCTCTAAACACTACATGAGCTATAGTCTAAACTCCTTAAAGGGGGGATATATGGGGGATTATATAGGGGAGTACTATAGGGGTTATTAAGGGGGATACTAGGAGTTTAGACAGTAGCTCACATAGCCTACAGAACCCTGGACCCCACAACTTCTTCCCGAGCCCCGAGCCCGAAGTTCCAAGCTTTACAAAGAGGAGCTCCGCACGCGACTGTTCAATGCCTTCCTGACGCTGAAGGTGACAACAGAGTTTGAGGGCTTACAGGGCTGCTGTGAAGGAACTTGAATTAAGTTACCCAACTAGGTATATATGACAATTACTATATGGTTCCCCTGGAATTGGTACCTTAAACCAAAAGGAAACAACAGCAACAGCGACCCAGTTTAGGGTAGGGTGAAAGTTGGGAGGATTTTTTGGGCTACAGGTCCTAGAGTGAGGTTGAGGGTATAGAAATGAGGTTATATGTGGAGATTATATGTGGGGGTTTCCCAAAATTAGGGGGGGGGCCAGTATGGGGGGGATACATAGCCACCAATAATGGAGAGTCACATGGAAAATGGCGTGGAGAATGAAATGGAAACTGGGGATATCATGGTTTAAAGTTTCCCAAAATTAGGAGTACTTTTTTGGGGTCCCTATCATAAGGACTCTGTATATTGGGGTCTATATTGGGGTCCCCTTATTTCGGGAGACTACCATGTGGGGTTTGGGGGAAGGGAAACGACAATGGCAAACTACGAAATTACCTGTTACATTGGCAGAGGAATTTTGGATACATTCTCCAGGTTTGCTCAGGAAGCCGCCGGTGTGGTCAATAACACTGTGGCAAGTTGGGCCGATCCAAAATGGAAAAGACAATGGAAACTGCTGAGTTAGTTCTGGAGGATTATATTTGGGCCGCTGTAGAGATCTATTCCTCCAAACCCTTTTCAGCCTAACCTGCCTTGTTGTTACGAACTGAAATTAAGCTACCCGAAATTGCCATACACAGCACATAACAACGATCCTGACACGTCCTAAGCATGGTAGCTTAACTTGAGTACCAGTCCTAAATCCTGAACCTTAGGCCCTAAACAGCAGTCCAAAAACTCCAACCCAGGACTTTCCAGACCGCGTGCGATCTTGAAGCCAGCAGCGCCCCCCACACCCAATACCAAATTAAAGTCGCACATACACATATAGGGAAAGACATATACAAAAACACGCTACGTTATACCGCCTCACACTATAGTACCTTGCGCTACATTGAAACACATTATACTGCATATGCATAGCCCTCATGTAGACTATCTACCCCAATCTGTGTAGGTTCGGATGGGCCAAGCTGAGCAGTCGGGGAGGTTGATGAAAGTAATGGAACAACGGTTGCAGGGTCTAGTAGCTGGGGTTTACTTCTAGATCCAGCTGACAATTAACTCAAAAATGGTTGTCTTTTTTTTTTTTTTTTTTTT